AGAGGCTGGATGCCTACCTGGCTGGACTCATTTGAGTCCTATTTCTTGTTTTGGGGTTTTGTTGTTCTCCCGCCCTGGCGGGGGGTCGAGCTAGAAGATCTACTAGGTCCCTTCCGACCCTAAATCTATGAAACTATGAAACATGTGACCAGGTCACTATTTAATGACACGATTAATCACAACTTAGCTGCAACTCTGTTACGGGCCTGAAGCCCCCTCTACACCTTACAGGTTTTGCACAATTAATTGGCTAATTGCGCAATTACCTGGAGACCAGCTACCCATGTAAAGTAGCTATCACACAATAAAAAGCTCCAACCAGCTATAAAGTTAGACCCCAGAAATGAGTACTAATTTTACAGCTGGCTGCTACTGAGCTTTCATTTGCACATGCCACGGGAGCAGCATGTCCAGCATAAAACCCCGAGCCTTACAGATCTCAGCTGCCACAATCCCTAGGGCTCTGGGATGCAGGAAACCCTTGGGGCTGGAGGATTGTGGTGATCCTCCAGCCCCAGGGGTTTCCCTGCACCCCCAGAGCAGGGGGATCACCCCTGCAATGACATTCCAGCCCTGGGGGTTTCACGCCTCCCTACAGTAGGGAGATTGCCACAGTGGGAGTCCTCCAGCCCTAGGGGTGTATGAGGTGCCCCGCGGCTGGGAGCCCCTCAGCTGGGGTGCATGGGGCTCCCAGCTGCAGGAGCTTGCTGCTTTCCAGCGAGGGGGAGCCCAGGATTGGGCTGCGCCTGCACTGGCAATAAGGTGCAATAGGATCTGGTTCACAATCCCACCATCGCACCTCTTGCCATGCACAGGTGGCACGGAAGGAGGTGCGATTGTGTGAATCACACATTAGATCCCTTTGTGCCTTTACCCGCACATGTAGAGGGGCCTGACAGACAAAAGGAGGGAAGGGGAGAGAGGATGAGGGCAACATTAACAAGGTCACATAGCTACCACCATTACATAGTGCCTGCAGACACCAGCTGGCAAACCTGATGGTTCCTTATCATCATCATTTACATAGTAATCAGGTAGACAAAACCAAATTAGGAGCTGCAGCCCTAATCTGCTCACCCCTGGGCTGATTTCTTTTAGGGACTGTGGTAGAGGCAGTTCTCAAGGAAGAATCTGGATGACGGGAGAGGAGAGAAGGGAACTGGCTTTACAGTTTAGCTTAGGGAGGGTTTCATAGTTTCATAGTTTCTAGGGTCGGAAGGGACCTGAGCAGATCATCTAGTCCAACCCCCTGCCATGGCAGGAAAGAGTACTGGGGTCAAACGACCCCAGCAAGGTGTTCATCTAACCTCCTCTTAAAAACCCCCAGGGTAGGAGCCTGCACCACTTCTCTTGGAAGTTGGTTCCAGACCCTAGCCGCCCTAACTGTGAAGTAGCGCCTCCTGATATCTAGCCTAAACCTACCCTCTGCCAGCTTGTGACCGTTATTCCTGGTCACTCCTGGCGGTGCTCGGGGGAACAGTGACTCCCCCAATGCCTGCTGATCCCGCCTGACTAGTTTATAACAGGCCACAAGATCCCCCCTCAGCCTTCTCTTTTGGAGGCTGAACAGGTTCAGGTCCCGTAGCCTCTCCTCATAGGGCCTGCCCTGCTGTCCCCTGTGTTACATGCCTAAGGGGAAGCATGGCACCTGTGGGCATTTACAGCTGGCATTGCGAGTAAAACAGAGGGAACACGGGAGGCAACAGAGTGAGAAACAAGGGCAGGTCTGTAGGCAGAGCAGAGCTGCGACAGGGCCAGGAGGCAGGGACAAGACAGGATGCAATGCAGTGGGAGATGCAGGCTGGGCAGGGCACAGCCTTGAGGGATGCCTGAATGATCTCAGGGGTGGAGTGCAGAATGCACCAGAGGTGGGTGATGGGAGGGCAGCAACAATAAAGACAGCAGATAGTGAGGGTCTAGAACCAAAGAAAAAGCTGTTCTGGAAACGTTGAGAAGTAAGTGGCTGCAGAATATAGATGATGGCCAGGTGAGATAGGAGGAGAGGACAGAGCTGCAAAAGCCAAGGGAGGACCAAGTCAGGGAGGAGGGTGTGATCAACAGAGCCAAAGGCAGGAGAGAAGCCAAGGGGGAACAGGATGGAGCAGGGGCCCTGAGAAAACAAAGTGAACATTAGCAAGAACACCTAACCTGTCTCTGACAGTTTCAGGACCCCTCTGCCACTGCTCTCCTGTTACAGTGGAACAACTTGGGGAGTTGGGGAGCAGGAGCGAGGGGAGCAGGGTGCACG